TGCCCTGAGAGCCCGCCCAGGAATGTTGTCCAGTCCTGCTGCTTTGCGGGGATTGATCTTCCTCAGGACTGTGTGTACCTGGGCTGGTGAGACAGTTAGTGGAGGGGAGGTGGCGGGTTGAGTGGTCTCAGTCTCTGTGTGCCTCCTCTCTGTGTTGTGGCTGGAGGTCTCAAAGCGGGTGTAGAAGGTGTTTAGGTCATCCGGCAGGCTGTCTGTGGAGCTGATGATGCTGGTGGTGGTCCTGTAGTCTATGATGTGCTGCAGGCCTTGCCACATCCGTCCCAAGTCAGCAGTAGAATAGAAGCCATTCAGCTTCTCTCTGTACTGCCTCTTGGCCGCTGTGATGGCTTTCCTCAGTCTGTACTTCGCAGCTTTGTACTTCGTCTCATCGCCTGATCTGAATGCATGAGAGCGAGCATGCAGCATATGTAAAATTTTAAGTCTCTGCCTTGGCTCCATACCCCTCCCCCAGCAAACATCCATTGCCGGTGATGATCGAGGGAGTGTACACACGTGTTTGTGTCTTGTTTGTCGGCCAGTCACTCCACAAATAGCTTGAAATGATCTGGCTATATGCAAAGACTCTTTGCATCATGCTGTATCAAACATCCTCTCCTAGATACTGTATAATAAGAGCTGGTTTACTGAGATTATGCTTATTTACTAAGAGTAGATGCTAAAGAACAGTGGAATAGGAAGAACTGGAACTGGACTGAGCCTGATTTAATTTTTAAATAAATTTTTAAATTTAGAGGATGTCAGTGACATCCTCTAAATTGTTGGTCTGTCTTCGGGGAAATTTCGAAATAACAGCGATAGTGTCATTGTGTAATGTGTTTATTATGCCCCAGAGATGTGATTCCAGCTCTGACCCCGGATTTCTGTTTAACCACTGAGTTTTGCCTAGCCCTCTGTTTCTGCTTGTGTTTTTCTGTGTATTGACTATCAGACTCCCCTCTCTGACCTCTCTCAGGTCGATAATACACAAACGAGTGTGTTTTGAGTTTACGTAGTTTTCTGTATCGTTTTGTTACCAGTGCTCTTATTAAAGACAGTGTTTCACTTATTTTCGTCTGGCTCTATAATTGAGTTCACCCCATGACATCATCGGCAGCTTTATGCGCCGACCCTGACTTATTAGACCAAGTCAGTTGCTGTGTACAGTGAGCATGCTTGCCTGATTGATGGATTTGGAGAGTAAAAAAAAAATTGGTGGACACAATTGCTTCATTTTGACTTAGATAATGGCAAGAGCAGAGGCCTTCAGATGTTTGACCACTTGGGAAACAATTTGTTGAAGCATATCACTGCCTTTACTTGGATATGTTTCCCTTCAGGTTTTGTGATGGCAGTAGAGGTCCACAGTCACAGTCAAAGGATGTGTCCTACTGGAGGAGAAGAGGCCAGGACTTCACTGTGCTGCTGGATTATGCTGATTTCCGAGAGCCCAGTGGAGTAGGACAGGAAGGTTACATAAGGCCAGAGGGGCCTCA